GAGCCTTCTGGCAGTGATTGTCTATGGGCACCGGTATCACTTAAATCCAGATAAGCCTGTTTTCTTTTCTATAAAAAAAAATCCTTCACAAGAAGTTCTTTAGGGTTAAAGTTATAAACAAAATATATACAGATATAAAATATGTATGTAGAAATATATACATAGAATATAGGCTAGGATAAGTAGAGAAATCTGAAGCTATAATATGTTCATTGAATGAAACGTGTAAGTTTCACTAATGAATTCCAGAATAATTTTTGCCTCTGACTGTACGTCGTGTGTGTGTCGGTCTATCGGGCCAGATCACCTTCCCCAAGCGATAACCTTAAAAGCCCGACCAATATTAATACATGATACATCCACGTGCGCGCATACATTACAATCCGATCTATGTTATACATATTTTTCAAGAGTATTACGACATAATATGACACGATTTCTAAATTGAAAATTCATACATATGTTTTCTTTAACACAAAATAAAATTAAAAATAAAAAAATCAGTGGCGCTACAACCTCTTTAGGTCTTGGCCTCAGATTTCTGAATCTGTTTCACGATCATTTTTAAATCTAATAGGCAAGTAGGTGATCAGCCTCCTGTGCCTGACACACGCCGTCGACTTTTTGGGTCTAAGACATGTCGGTTTCCTCACGATGTTTTCCTTCACCGTTCGAGCAAATGTTAAATGCGCACATAGAAAGAAAGTCCATGCACAGCCGGGGATCGAACTGCGACTTCAGGTATGAGAGTCGCACGCTGAAGCCACTAGGCCAACACTGCTCACATAATAAAATACATTCTACGAAAAACTTATGGGTCTAAAAAACATCACTTTTTTATATAGTTAATGTTAACTAATAAACGCAAATAAAGAAATCATATATTGCTAAAATCACAAAAAAAATACACATAATGTGGTGCGCGGCAAAAACTGCCTTAGAAAACGCTCTGTTGTGGAACGACGGACGTCGAGGTGATACGGATGGTATTTTGTATTTTGCCTTGACGTCCGATGATGAAACTCAGCTGCAGGTATTAGACCGAACAACTCCTCTGAACACTCTCCATGGTAAATGTTGGCCTAGTAGCTTCAGAATGCAAATCTCATGCCTGAGGTTCGATCTTCGGCTGTGCACCAATGTCAGTGAGTTAGACGCTCAAAGGTTTTTCAAACATTTATTTGAAGCATTTAACATTCGTTCAGCCCTAGCAAAGATTCTGCTCATTATATTTTTTTCTGTATGTTATAGAGAGCAGTAATGGCCTAGTGGCTTCAGTGTGCAACTCTCATCCCTAAGGTCGTAAGTTCGATCCCTGGCTGTGCACCGATGGACTTTCTTTCTATGTGCGCAATTACTATTCGCTCGAACGGTGAAGGAAAACATCATGAGGAAACCGGCTTTAAACCCAAAAAGTCGACAGCGTGTGTGTGACAGGGCACTGGAGGCTAATCACCTACTTGCCTATTAGATTGACAAATGATTATGAAACAGATACAGAAATCTGAGGTCTTGACCTAAAAAGGTTGTAGTGCCACTGATTTATTTCATTTTACCCTTGGAAGCTCGTAGTCGCTTGGGTGGCTCAGACCGTCGAGAAATAAATGAGTGATTTGTTACCATGGTAACCATTTATTTTGTAAGTCTACGGAATCTAGTAACTCTCCTTGTGGTTACAAAACGCGGACTGAAAATAAAACCGCGATTGTCGTCATGGTAACAAACACTGTAACTAAAGACACTTTGTCTTTAGCAGTTTACTTTAATGATAAAGACTTCGTGAGTATGAACTTGAAATTGATAGCTTGCGCTTATGGTTGATATGCTGTATTAATTCTTTGATACGGTGTTATAGGCTAAGTACCTACTTTGTGAGACCTGTCACAGACTAGATCAAAAGCTTCTCTATGATTTATGATTACACATTTCGTGAAAACAACATTTTCACAGTTTGCTCGGAGTATCTGTGTTTAAAAAGCATTGAAACCCCACCCTAATCATTATTAATTTTTACAAGCGTAAAATTTTTATTGGTTTTAAAAATGAGCGGCACGTACTCTATTGCTTTTAACAACAGGTGTTTCGAATTCCCATAGACAGGTCTTGTTCCCAAAGCCAATACTAGACACGTGTTTGGATCAATATCTTATCGAATGGCGCCGGCGCCCATATATGGGGGAAAATCAGAGGGTGTGTTTGCGCAGAGTGCAGACTAGCGTTTGTAACGCGGTTTTAATTCTGTTTTGAAACGGCATTTTTGCGTATTATCTGTAAATTTTTTAAATTGTAATGTGTTTCTTAGTTATTAAGATTAGAAAACTAAAACGCAATGAAGTCAAATTTATAATAAATTCAAAAATATTTCTACACATTTCTTAACCATATTATATCCTGCTGAATCGTGACTTTTGGAATTCTTGTATTTTTTATTCTTTTGTATTGCATCAATCAGTGAGATTAACTTTTTAGTTTATTTTATCATTTTTTTGTATTATTTTACATTAAGGTTAGTGATTCTATAATTTTTTTTATAAGATTTGGATATGTACTTATTGCACTTTACCCATCATAAATGGCCGCCCGTTGCATCCCTTGTGTTTTTTTTTATCTATAAATGTAACAAAGTGTAAATAAATAAAAAAAATATTAAATTAAATTTTCTACTATCCCATAGATAAGTAATTCAATTTATTATTCAAGTACCTATTTAAAGATAATCTATGTTTTTTTGCCGCCCGTTTATCATGCTCAACCCCAGAACTATGCGGTATGGTAGCAATTCAGATAAAAAAGATCTCTACAAATTGAACTGAAAAATATCTCTAGTAAAAGATTTTTTTAATAGGCGGCAGTTTTTGCAGGTTGTTAAGCAATTTATTAATATTAATAATGAAATAGAATAATTTACAGTGTTCTTACTTCTTAGTTTGATGAAGTTCTAACCAAAAAAGGTGAGTCGTTAAAGCTGATTAAAAGCCTAAATGAAAGAAAAGAAACGTTGTTTCTTACTTTATTCAGGTTTCTACGTGAACATAGGTATGAAACCTCTGCTACGCAAAATGTTGACAAGACTATTGTAGAACTAATCTAAACGTAATACATCAATTAATATATATCCATTATTCTATTTTCGTTATACTCAATTATATATATATATTCAATTTATTATATACTGCTGCCCCCGAGAGCTGAAACTGGTTTTAATATGTTTTCGTGCAATTTTTCAAAGTTTTCTCTCCGTAAAAACCTTCCTCAGAGTTAAAATATCGAATTGTTTTAGGCGTTCTGCGAATTTTGCGCTTAGCTATATATTTAACGATTCATTTTTATTTATAGATACCATAATCTTAATAGAAACTGACTCCTGTGTATTAGGTTAATCCTACTAATGGTCAAGGCATAGCCTAAACCTGAAGTTAGTATTTGGAACTTGGATTGAAATTATATTTAGGTACTTATGATTTATATGTTTACGACGACTCATTGGTCTAGTGGTTAGTAGCCCTGACTGCGAGTCCATGGGTCCCGGGTTCGATCCCCGGATGAGACGAACATCAATGTGATGAGAATTTGGTGTTGTGCTTAGGTCTTGGGTGTTTAAATATGTATTTATATGTTTATCTATCTATAATATGTATGTATATCCGTTGCCTAGTACCCATAACACAAGCTTCACCAGCTTAGCATGGGACTTGGTCAATTGGTGTGAATTGTTTAAAAAAAAAAAAAATATGTTATTTGATTACTAATAATAAAACCCGTTTTATTTCCAATCATGACAAAAACAAATTATAAAAGGTACACAGCTTAGATTATTTTACACTTTTAAACATTTTTTTTTTCTTTTGCTTGTTATTCTATATTCTAGCTTCCTTCAGTACCTTCGATCGGAACCCCTTCACGGGTAAAGGCCTCCTCCAGCTTTTTCCAACTGACTCTATCTATGGCTCTCTTTCTCCATTCGTTTCCTGCTACCGCTTCTATTTCATCTATCCACCTTTTTTTTGATTATATATTGATTACTAATATATGTAAGTTATTACAATCACAAATAACTTATAATTATATAACTAAAACTATTATATTATAATAACTTAATATTTTATGTAGTCAAAGTTTTCATCATAAAATTACTGAAAATTCCAACCAAGTTCAAATAAAGAAATATATAGGTACTCTGTGTGTTTGTGTGTATGTCTAAGCTGTAAGGACTTTATGTTTATTGTTGTGTATCGTCGCTAGTTTATCCTACTTTCAGCCACTGTTAGAACTATGTAAAATATGTGGTTAAAACCGTGCAGTACTAGAGTAACCTGCCTGTTTAATTTGACGGGGAAGGTATATATACATTTATTTATGTTTAATTGATGTAATATACATAATACACTCTATAAACGAAATTATTCATTTGTATATTTCTTTCAAATATTGCTTACGTTTTGATTAAGAGAGTCAAAACAATGCTTAGTTAAAGTCCATTAATAATAGGGAAAGTTTTTTTTAAGAATGTAATTTTAATTTCATAAAGTATTTTTTAATCAAAATATTTAATAGAATACTACCTATACCTATGACCTATACTGATTAAATATTTTATGTTTTAAAATATAAAGATTTTAATTATATCTTTATTAATAATGTTTTTATCAATATAAAAATTTGCATATTTTAATAAAAATCTAAGATATAATTGAGAGACAATCAGACAATAAAACATAGGTAGATACATTAAGCTCTCTACAAAAAGGTTTTTAACTCATAATCGTAGATGAAGAAAACGGAGCACATAATACACTGTAATTCATTGATTTGTATTTAATTAAATTGTTCAAATCGCTTCAGCGCTACTTTCATTAAAACTATAAAGAAGCTAAGGAGTTTTAATTTATAGGATAATACACAGTTCAGTCTTTAATTTTATTTACAAAATGGCACATAACTTAAAATTACCGTACAATATATAACAAAAATGTAACAAAATAATACTTTAGTTCAGTCAGTTAACAAACATAATTATTAGGAAAATATTTCTTCATCTCCACATCTTTGACATCCGTCGTGTAAAAGTTGGATTCATCTATTCGATTGTAGAACTTCTCACTATCATAGGTATCTTCCAAATATAAGGTGGAATTGATATCATGCTGATTCTGAATGTAGTTTTGATTATCTCTAGTCTCTGGTTTGTATAACTTCCTCAATGTTTTCGGTTTTGCGTCTGTGGATGTCGAGACTTCCGGTGATTTTATCCTTTTACTTTTGTATCTTCTGTTCTGGAACCATATTTTCACCTGCGTTGGTGTTAAGTTCAGTTTCTTAGCTAATTCTTCACGTTCGGGCGCTGTTAAATATCTTTGGGTATTGAATCGGACTTCTAAATCGTGGACTTGGCTTTGTGAAAAGAGTATTCTGGGTTTTCGTTTTGTGCTTTTGTCTTTTGTTTTTTCTGGCTTTGTCGTGATCGTTGGCATTTCTGTTAACAAAAAGAATGGATTGGTTAGTGTAACTTAATAAAAATTGATTAATAATGCTTCAACTTTCATGGTTAATTTATTAATCATTTATTGTCCTATTCAAATTCAATTATTTCGGCATTTAAAGCATAACAACTTATAACGTTATTTAATCATTCATAAAGTATAAATTAATTTATTCAATTTTTTTAAAATTTGATTAAAGCATCTTTTAAATCAGATAGTGTATACTTACTCATTGTTTTCCTGGCCATAGCAGTAAATTTATTATCTATTGGTAAGTGAGGTTGTGGTACTGATACGTCTGCGAGCCCGGGTGGTTCAGACATATCGACATCCAATTTAGGCATTTGTGGCATCTCCTGGTACTGTTCATGATGGTACAAATTCTGACAATACGAATTATAATTGTAATATCCCTCTTTGTTCTCATATTCCCCGTTCCAGTACTCGTTGTGCATCGGATACACTTGATTGAAGTACTCCGAACAATAATTGCTTTGATGGTACAGTCTCTCATAATCCTGGCTTCGTTCGGGCTTCCAAACGTCATTCCGTTCATAATAAGTCTGGTTAATGTTCAAAATGTCTTTGACTGAAAATGGTGTGGATAAAGAATACATTTGAGCATCGTCGATTTTTGATTTCTTCTCTTCAGGGTAGAAGAAGTCGGGTTTGCACTCGCTATGTTTGTATGAGGTGGAAACTTCGTTGTGTTGTTCGTAATTCATTTTGACACTTTCATTTCACTTGTGGTTTTAAGCACATGTAGAAGCAGACTGATGGTTGTCGAGATTTAAATCGAAGCCAATCCTTGACGCCTGCTGTGTTGTGGGCGGAGCTTAAGGCTGTTATCTATCTCTTTCCAACGCAACGGGAATGATATCTCCATCCTTGTCTTTGGAGCTTTTCATTTTCAGTGAAGTTGTAAATAAATTGATGATATCATTTGCGTGTGAAGTTTATTTCTCATTTATTATTGATATGCCAGGATATTGTTCATAAGTAATTGTTTCAATTTATAATGCGTTTAAAATCTATTTTTAGAGTTTGCTAACGGTTTAGACTTTAGAATTGGTTTGTTGTTTTAGGTATCAAAAATATGATTGAACTTTAATTATGGGAGTGTGAGATAGAACAATCGCTTTACACCTTAGACATAATATGTCCTTTGGTAGCTATTATGATGCATTTCAATACTACTATACCTTAAAAATTAAAATATAATAACTAAAATATATTGAAAGAAAAAAAAAACGAACGTTAACATAAACTAAAATATATTATTAAAAGGAGTCCCTTTAGGCAAGGTTCCGAAGATACTGGCAGCGTTCCCCCTTTGAACCGCTAGACTAATTCTTTGTCCGAGGTAGCTGCCAGATCTTCGGTCTCCTGTGATGTCGACTAACCTTTTTGATATGTCTTTAAAAAGCCTTAAAGCGCTAGGACCCCACGGACCAAGGGTCTCGACACCGAATGGGACAAAATCATATTAAGTATATTTCAATTTAGTCTTCATCTTACTTTATCTCAACTTTAATAAAGTTGAAATTACAATTAGTTTTTTTCAACCTCATTCTCCGTTTAATATCCTCGTTTTAATAATATATAATAATTTAGTAGGTACCTATAGCTTACGAAGCGGAATGTTTTAAATTATAGATGTTATAGGTATACCTATGATAATCCAAAGCTAATTAAATAAAATCCAACCAATCCAAACCATTAAAAACTAAAATGCCAGCTTGATCAGAATTGTACAACTTGCCTACGGTAGATGGTAGTGGGACTCAAGGGATTAATGTGATTTTTTTGGGATGGATACGTAGTTATCTATTAATTAAACAGAATACATGTTAAGACATTGCTATTTTGTATTACAGTTTATGTAAATTATATATTACCTATTATTTATTTCTTCATGCGCTGATGATGCTAACAAAAAAATAAATCAGTGGCGCTACAAACTCTTTAGGTCTGCGTCTCAGATTTCTGAATCTTTTTCATGATCATTTTTCAATCTAATAGGCAAGTAGGTGATCAGCCTCCTGTGCCTGACACACGCCTTCGACTTTTTGGGTCGAAGACATGTCGGTTTCCTTCACCGTTCAAGGGAATGTTAAACATAGAAAGAAAGTCAATTGGTGCACAGCTGGTTATCGAACCTACGACCTCAGGGATGAGACTCGCACGCTGAAGCCAACTCTACTCTTTGCCGCTCTGCTGCCTACTGTTATTTAAAGAACATTTGTTTAATACAAAGGTCGACAATAGTATTATTTCTGTCCTTTTTAAGTGAACCTGAATGAAGGGTTTTTTTATAATTTCTAACCACAAAGTTCATAATCGTGTACATATTTTAAGCATGATATACCTATTTTATTTCTTCGAAGGCGACAGGAACGCTCAATTTACTTTAAATTATCACGTGTCGACATATCATAAACAAGACGTCAACGGCCTCTTTCAATTTGTAATCAAATACATAAATTCTTCTACAATATTAAGGGAAGTTATTTGATATTCCTTTCAATCATATTATATAAATAGGAATTGTTTCTTATAACTATGGTGTATATGAATGTAAAAGAAATGCATATAAAATTGCTGCGAGCAAAACTCGAAGACGGTTGGACCAATTCGAGTATTTTTTTATTTGTTCTTTAAATAAGGTTTTTGTTCCGGAAAAGCGAACAGTCTTTAAGGCGTAGCATGAAATATATTGTTACGTAACTCTTAAAAAGGTAGGCTAAGTAAAAAATCATATTAAGGCCAAATGAAGTTTGCTAGCTAGTTTTTAATAAAACTGTATGCGCACTTTTCTTATATTTTATTTAATTGTACTTGTAATTGTAAATTTGGTAATAAATATACCCTAAAGCCCAATTTTAACAATAACAATCTATATTGCAGCAGAGGTAACATATAAATAGGTCCTTCGGAATCTTAATATATTTAAATAAAGCACTGTTTAGGCACGGGAATGCCTCGTTTTATATTAGATCACATCGAGGCAATATAGTTAAAGAATAATCCATAGACAAGAACTCTTCCCTCACTTGGGCTAAAAGAAAGAAAAACCGTGTCGTGTTTTTAATCCACCACAGCAAGTCTTTGTTCTGACGTTCCTACGTCAAGAATGTATTGGATGTTGACATACCTACGGGAGTGACAGTTCGCGGTAAGTCGACGCTTTGCGCTTAGTATGACTCTGGTATGACAATTTTTAATAAATTATTACACACGGAAGCCGTAGTTCGCGCTATGCCTGGCCTCTGTATATTTCCACAAAGTTACCCAAAAAACGTTTTCCATTATAAAATGTTATTTCGGCGTGTGCTGACCATAAAATTGCGAACTTAAAATCTCGTTAATTCCAAAAAGCCATAAAATTAAGGACAACTTTCGTATCACAAAAAACAGCAATAAAATAGCTTCCGTTTGTCATATGACCTGTTTTTGGTTTGCATTGTCTTTTTCATGACCATTCTTAGGGTCAGTTTTTTCGACACTTCTTTTATTGATCCTTTCATTACAGATTACGTAATGATATTGCAATGATACTGTAATGATAAGAGAGTCACTGAACAGAAACCGGTATAAACCAAAAGAGAGCTCCAGATGTTTCCTTGCTGACCACGAGTCACGACGCTCAGACATCTACCGAGTGAAGAAAGAGAAAGAGTAATGATATCGCAAAAATATTGATAAGAATCAATTAAATGAAACAAATATTCCCTATATTTTATGTAGGATATAAAATTATATAGGTATGAATCAGTCTACTTATAGATATTATTTTAATACTGTCCCTTTTCATCATAGGCTAGACACAGCTAGACAGAAAGAGAGGGACTGAGTGAATTGTGTAAGTTTAACGTGACTTTGGTATATTATGATAGAACTTTACGTTAATCTATTTACACTTGGACCTAATTATTAATATTACGGGGTTTTGACATACGTTACGTTTGAATCTGATTGTATTCCGAAATACGGTTTATTGTATGTACCTAATACAATATTATGCCTATGTATTGAGGAATAAATCTAAAGAAAAAAAACAAACATTCCGTTATTCTATGTTGTCATTCTTTGTAAAATATGTATGTATATGTTTCCCACGTACCTATGGGTCTTACGTGACTAACAAAGCTCTTGTCAAGGGTTTTTTAATCTTTAATTTTTGGTAAAATACGTTTCAAAGGTATTTAGCACGCCGTAAAAAGTAATTCTTGTCAAACTTTGAAGTGTTTTAGATTGGTATTAAAGAGGGCATGTCAAAGTTGTAATAAAAATGGATTTTTATGGTCTTGTTAATTTTTTGGTTGCTTCAAGTGTTTTGTCGTTCATATTATGCCAAACTGAAAGACAAAGTTTGATTAAAATACCCATGAGTTATAGTTATCTTGTTCTGCATATTCAAATTTATTTACCCAATAACTTTTTAGTTTCTCCTTAGAGAAATTCTTAAATTTCAATAGGCATTTTTAATTCAAACATATCATTTTAAATTGAAGCAGCACCATCTTGTGAACAGTAGCTGTAGTTATTATATTTCATTAACGCATATCTTAAAATTTTAAGGCCACCTATTGACAAGTAGTGAATCGTAAAAATACAATTTTATTTAAAAGATATTGTTTTAATTTAATCAATTTGATTAAATTATATATCAGTATTTTACCAATATTCAATTTATATTTATATAAACCCCATGTATATTACACGAAATATTTATAATTGAATATAATGTTATTATCTGAATATAGTGTCATCTAGCGGAATAAAACTTAACTATCATGTACTATGAAATGGTAATCTATGTCCTGTATTTCATTGTGTAAGAAATATGCTAGATGGCGCGTTTCACAATGATAAAAAGATAATCAAAACGACGACAGTTCATCTTTGTTAGTAATGTCCATAGATACTAGGTGTCAGTGAAATCAAATACAAAGATTAACGTGTTTTTATAGGTTCTGAGTCTGTGAATCTCTCTTTCTATTATATAATAACTACTCCAAAACTATTATAATTTAATCTTGTGATAGTGATATATTAAATTTCAAGTTAGCATCTCCGAACCGTATAAGTTCTTATGGATGTAGTTAGTTGTTTTGAAGATTTGTACCTACATCACAAATTAGCTAAGTAGGTAGGTAATCTTAATTTTATCAGATCTGACCACCCATCGAGACAAACGATTAGAACAATCGAATTATATCATTTGATTATTTCACTCGAGTTAGTCGATTCGGCGATTCTCTTTGCGATAACCGTGATGACTAGCGAAAAATAACGCGCGTGCGGCCGCAGCGCATGATTAGTCAATTTTGAGGTAATTAAAGACAACAATTATTTAAGTTTTTATATTGTCTATGTAAATAATATAAATATATGTTTAATAATGTTTCGATAATCTATAGTCGGCCACTGTCATTTGAAATGCCAAATTTATTTACACGCCTCCTACGCATGATACGTAAAACGAGTGGAATAATGACGAAAATCCTCAGACTCCCCGTCCAATTTCCGTTAGTACGCGGCATGGTGTCATATGCTGTCATATGGCCAACCTGCAGCATCACCCAGGAATACCTCGCAAATGGTACACCAATACAGAACGCGGATTGGAACCGAGCCGCGCGCTTCGGCTTCTTCGGTACATTTTTCATGGCACCCGTCTTCTATGGCTGGTTGAAATTCTCGAGTAGGTTCTTTAAACGAAAATCGTTGTTCACAGCAATAAAAAGAGCATTAATCGAGCAAGTGTCATACTCGCCGCTTGCTATGGCGTATTTCTTTTTCGGGATGAGTTTGCTAGAAAAGAAGCCGATTAAAGCTTGCATGAATGAGGTTAGGGAGAAGTTTTGGCCTACTTATAAAATCGGTGTTGTTTTCTGGCCAACGGCGCAGACTTTAAACTTTTATTTTATATCAGAGAAGAATCGTATGGTGTTCGTAAGCGCGGCCAGCTTTGTGTGGACGATATATTTGGCTCACATGAAGGCAAAGAAGCAAAAGGGGGAAATGATTACAGATGATGAAATATCATGATTATTAAAACTTTATCAAATACAATTTGGTTGTTAATTTCTTTCAGATTGAACTTAAATCGGAAATACAGGTATAGTTTGATATTTTTTTTGAATCCAACGTAGAAATGATTAAAGTTTCAAAAATTTCTAGAAGTTTAATGAAGAACCAATAAACTGCTATACAATACCAGTAATCATATTAGTCTGTCTAAAGATTGGAATTAAAAATAGAAATTGGTTTTTAAAAATTCATAATATTTATCATATTTATTCAAATTCAAATTCAAAATCATTTATTCATTTAGGTAACACAATGTTTACTTATGAACGTCAATTAAGAAATACATATTAAATGCTTCTTATTTTACATTTACTACTAAGAATAAACTCTATTAACAAGTAGAATATACAAGGCAGCCGTGGATGGTTGGTTGGTAGGCCTTGTCGTACATACCTGTGCCAATTGAAGGAGATAGGTAGAGAAGGGACAAGTTAAAAGTACCCATAACCGACGAGCATGCATGCATGGTCATGAAAGTGGATGAAGCGAGAGAGGAATGTCAGGACCGTAGCAAGTGGAAAACGATGGTCTACCCCTTCGTGTTGTCTATAAATAAATAAATTAAATAAATATTAATATAGGCTCAAGAATATTGTTTTTTCCTGTTTCGGAATATACCGCCTAGTCGTTTCTTTATAAAATGTAATTTATTATATTTTACTTAAATCGGTATACAAAAAATATGTTGTTTATATAGTTATTTTTATTTCATTAAAAAAATGCGTTATCATTTGTAACAAGTAACAACTTATGGCTGGACTAGGTATATATATACTCGTACCTATTACCCTGACTATTTAACTGTTTCTAATTTACTCAAAATAGTTGCATCGTTACGCACGAGGGCTTTATAAACTCGGGTAGGAGAACTAAATGATATAAAAGAATGTTAAAGGGTCTATAATCGTTGGAATTCTTTAAGAAATTCAAAGAATTAATAACAAAAATGAATTCTTATGGCGTAGGTTTTATTGGTATATTAATCATGCATTGTCAACGCGGGAATAATATGTTTCGAGCTTTTTTTATGATTTATGAATAAAAAGGGGTTTAGTCGGCTTCTGGGTGGTTTTTTAGTTGTTTATATTATCTAGGTAAAAACCTTAGACCGATGTTTTATTTTTTATTAATTTGTTATTGAAGTTTTTAGTATCGATATTGAATAATCTTTTTAATAGCAGCTTTGGGGAGTTACACATAATCGCGAATACTATTCACTTTAAATAATTAATAATTGTTTCGGCGTTTAATGTACATCATTATTTAGAAAGTTACATTCGCGCTTTCAAAGATCTGGTTAAAGTACTTTTCGATTACTTGTCTCTTGAGTTGGCCAAGCGTGATCTTTATAGTCCAAGAAAACAAATGTTCATGAACTATAATGGAGGTTTGTTTGCTAGAAGGCGAAATTACCAGAAAACTTTTAAACATGTTGTAACTCAAATGGAATAAAAGCATAAATTACCCAAATTGAAAACTGGAAAATGGACGTATTTCTTACATATAGATAGATGAAAATAATAAATCAAGAAAAGAACGTAGGTACCTATTCTTAAAAGAACAGCAACGCACTTGCCTTCTAGAAGTGTGACTGTCCATCGGTGGTATTACTTAACATCGGGTGGTGACCGTTTATACTCTTGTTCTGTAAAAAAAAATTAGTATTTTTTTAATATACAGATGTCATAAATTTTATTTTTGAAGACCCCATTATCTGTGGTAACGCTTCTAAAACCTCCACTAACATTTAGTATTATAAAGATATCAACATTGTCTTTAAATTACGCTCGTGAAAAACAAACCGATTAATTAGTCTGATAATATGTCGGCCGCTACCGTCCGAATTTATACGTTTGCCCCACAAAAGCGCCGAAACGGGTCTCTTTTAATGATCTTGCGTCGCACCACCATAAAAAACTTGCTAAAAAATGCGTAAACTTGACCCTTAGTTGGTATATCTATGGAGCTGTTAATATAGCTTACAGTCACAATGGCATTTGAAACAAATATATAACAAAGAGACGTTACAAACGGGTAATTAACGAAACATTTATATCAAAGTATTCTATTTGTTTTATTTGACACCAGAGCGGTTTTCGCATCGGCGGTCGCTCTCAAATCAGTCGTGAAGCAGTCATTTTATGATTTGGCATTCTGAAAAGGTGAGAGCTTGTAGTTTATTGTTTATCAGAAGAAGGCAGAAGTTTGGTCACATTTTAACTAGTATCGGATACTGCATTATTAATCAGTTGACATTCCAATTAGTCTAACGTTTATTAAGCTTTTGCAACAGCCTAAAGAAAGTTGTCGACGAATTATGATAACAGCTCAATAGAATTACCCAATACAACTATTTTACGCCACTCTACCAAAACTTATTTTGTTAAAAGATAACCAAATCACAAGACATAAAGTTAAGTTTTTGTCACAAAAAACTTTGGGGACCTATCCTCACCTGCTGTGTCACATTATTTATTGTTGAGCATTTGGACAACAAAAGGAAAGCCGAATTTCTTTCGATCCCATAGTAATTGATTTAATTCTGACATTTTATAATTAGTGTAAAAAATCGGTGGCATTTTTTTTGTGCTTCCCAGAATTTGTATATAGATGTAGGTGGTGTGAAGACGATTTTTAGTACAGCCTTTTTAAAGTCTAAAAAAATTATTTTGGATGGATTTGCGATTTTAAGAAAATACGCTTTACATTGGTCTTTTGAAATGCGGTCATCTCAAGGTGTCTTATCAATCTCATAAAGAAAACATACTTTGAATGGCCACGCACACAATATAATCTACATAAATAAAAATGAATCGCAAAAGATCACCAGGGACCAATTCCAGTTTTTTTTATTATTCCTTGAACTCTGAACTCTTGAATTTAGTTTTATTTAGTTAGTTAGGTTTTTGTTCCGGACAGTCTCTGTGGGATAGCATAGCAAAATGTTGCATATGATGGTATGTAGCAACTAAAAAGGTAGGCTAAGTAAAAAAATTATATTAAGGCGAAACGAAGTTCGTGGAGGCAGCTAGTTTTTCATAATTATCAACATGTTGTCGACACGGTGATAAAATATCTGTCAATCTGTGTGTCTGGTGGCATAAAACAGTGATCAAAACGTGTATTAGCTATTTAAATCTTTAATTTTATAAATTGATTGTTTGTATGTAAATAAAAGGATTGTTCTTTCTCATTCATTATTTGTATGTTTTTACTTTTTATCCAAAACCGGTAGAATAATTAAATTGCAATAAAATAAAAATGCAATTATAAACTTAAAAACGTCGTTCATTCCGCTAATAAAGTGGCATTCAAACGAAAAGGTAATAAAATGAAAATTGACAATAATTGCCCGTGATCTTGTAAGGATGAAATAAAAATAATTATGATATGTAAGATTCAATGTTTTATGGTCAATTTTGTTATTGGGGTTCCTTGCGAAAATATTTAGATCCTTTCTATAGCCGGAGGTCATAGGTTCTATTCTAGGAGAATTAGTTTAGGAAGGTGGTTTACCTGTATCTTAAGCAAAATGGTCCTTATAAAAGATGTATATTTTACATAATATTTATATTTATTATGTTCAGGACTAAAAATTAAAATATGTTTTAACTGTTTTAGTTAGTTAGTATTAGTTAGCTGTAAATTTTATTTTTTTGTGCGCGCTGAGAAAGCGTCTTCTAGTCCTGGGAGATACGACCTCCAAACTTAAAAAAATACTTTGAAAAACATACTCCGCTCTTAAAGGCCGGCAACGCTTACTAAAATTGGTGTCGAAGGGCTGCTTTCGTAGGTTCGTTTGCCCCTCTATCATATAAAAAATCCGTCATATATGCTTTGAATTTTACGCGACGATTTCTCGTAGAACCTGAAGTGATCATTTATTTTCTCGAACTATAAAGATCACGCTTAGCCACTTGAGATGGCCATTTCAAAAAGTAATTCCATATCCCGTATTTATAATTTTAACGACGTTAAGGGGAATATTAAACATGATTTCTGTCCTACAAAGCTTATGGCATAAAAATATCATATATATATACATACTAGCTGACCCGGCAAACGTTTGTTTTGCCGTGTATTTCTAGGAATCATTTTTTTAGTTTAATAAAAGTAATCTACAATAATAAAAAATAGGGGTTGATCGTAGAGGGGTAAACATTAGGGGTTGTATGTATTTTTGTATGCTGTATCATAAAAAAATTAAAACAATAAAAAAATTCTACAAAATAAAAATAAAAATTTGGGTTTGACACCCCTTATCACTTAGGGGTTTGAAAGATAGATAGTAGCCGATTCTCAGACTTTCTGAATATGCACAAATAAGAATCGATCGAGCCGTTTTAGAGGAATATGGGAACGAACATTGTGACACGAGAATTTTATATATAATATTATATAGTGATGTGTAAACTAACGCAGCCTAACCATTAACAAGTTATTTTAGTAGCAACTATATATTTATTTAATTCTTGAGTCTGTATTGAGTCTCTAACTTCTATAGTATTCTCTCTATCTTCTAGACTCAATTATAAACGCATTAAAACCAACTTATCTTAGGTTATGCCAGAAACAACGTTTAATAAACATCGATCTATGGATTCGTGTTTATAGTCTTAAGTGACAAATAACTTTCGCTTCGCTTCGCCTTAAATAAAGTTATGAAGATTACAAAGGCGGGGCTCATCGAATGACCAATAACTCAATTAAAAAACCTATATCAGTCAGTAAATACAGATGACTTCCTAATTATATACAGTCCTCTTGACAGAGTTTATTACAACATAGGAGAACCTGGCATAGATCTGGCGACAAAACTTTGATAATATGGCACTTATCGATTCACCACTTTGATTTTGGTATAATATAATTAAATAAGACCAGTGTTGGCCTAGTGGGTTCAGCTTGAGGTCGTAGGTACGATACTCGGCTGTAGGAACGGTGAAGGAAAACATCGT